TGTTTTCATGACATGAAGTATGTAGAGTAGAAAGCTTCCTTCATGAAGTGATGCATGTAGAGTAGAAGGTTGTTTTCATGACATGAAGCATGTACAGTAGAATGCTGCCTTCACGAAGTGATGCATGTAGAGTAGAAGGTTGTTTTCATGACATGAAGCATGTAGAGTAGAAGGTTGTTTTCATGACATGAAGCATGTAGAGTAGAATGCTGCCTTCACGAAGTGATGCATGTAGAGTAGAAGGTTGTTTTCATAACATGAAGCATGTAGAGTAGAAGGCTGCCTTCATGAAGTGATGCATGTATAATAAAGGGCCCTCTTAGTAAAATTAAGCTTCTACGGTAGAACACTGTCTTCATTAAATAAAGCTCTCAACAGTCCTCCGTACAATAACATCCTGTTTTATTTAGCAGGAGGAAAACCTGCATGATTCTCTACTTATTACAATACTAGTTTTTCATATCTTAAGAAAAAAAAGTTTTTTTCAAACAAAAAGACTCACTAAATATTTTTTTCTTCAAGAAAATTTGTTTAATTAAACATTACTACATTCTAATTACATTTGCCACACATTTTACAACTGGCAATGATGAGGCCAACGAGGAAAAGGGATTGTGTCTTTAATATTGTTAATTCCAAGTAAATATTGCAGGTAACGTTCAAATCCTAAACCAAATCCACCAAGTGGTGCTGAGCCAAACCTTCTAAGATCAAGATACCTGAAATGTAGAGAAATAAATATTATTTCAAAAGAAAATAAATGTTAGATTCACTAAAGCTATTAATAAAAAAGTTCTCAATTTCTTCATTTCATGTACTTACTTTATCATCAGTTAATAATAGAAACAAAAAAATCCAAACCATGTTATATAAATTAAGGTGATAATTATTAGGACATCATGAAAATAATTCTGGCAGAACGTGCAAAAAAATTATGGGTTTAAAAAGAGTTAAAAATATTTAAAAAAAGCCTTTATCAAAGTAAATCAACAAATTTTAAGACAGAGAGAATGGTCTAATTATGAATCTCTGTGCGGTTTTTTTAGTTGTCCTACCTAGATGTTGTTCAGGCCTCAAAGTCTAGTGTTAGGATAAAACTACAAAAATACTGAATAGTTTGCATAGGTTAATATTTTTTAGTGTTAGCCCTTTTACATAAAGCAACAGAAATATAAATCATTACCAAACTTTAATGTTAGTGGACCTGATTTTTCACTCATACAAACATTAATACCAAGTGACTAATACGTGAACAGCTGCTATTTTTGATGTGCTGTACCTGCCAGACTGTTGCGTGTCTTAGAAAAAAACGTTGGTCACTATGATAATGAGCAACATCACAATGTTAGGCATATTTTAACTCACAATGTCCTTTTAATAATGTACAGTGTCATTCATGCTTTTAATCATATTTAATAATTTTTTTTTATCCTTTTTCACATCTATATAAGAACAAATTTTGTTTTATATATATTTTATATTTTTATTTTACAAACGTCATTGTTATTTCTAACTGTTTTAATTTGTTGTTCTTAAAAACAATAATAGCCTAACAGTGTTTTGGCACATACAGCTTGTGACGGTTTCAACATTAAGCCTTTTAATAAATTTTTTACAGTAAGTTCTATAACAGTACAAAAATACAAATAACAAACATAATGAACTAAACATATACACATTTTTTAAAACTATGTTATATATATACAAGTACTTTACAGTCACCAAGTTTTTGTGGTTAGTTGTTTTTACAGTAAGTTCTATAACAGTACAAAAATACAAATAACAAACATAATGAACTAAACATATACACATTTTTTAAAACTATGTTTTATATATATAAAAGTACTTTACAGTCACCAAGTTTTTGTGGTTAGTTTTTATTACAAACAAATACCCGTATTTTTATTTATAAATTACCAATACAAGACATTGGAAAGCACGATTTACTTAAGTTTTAAATCAACTCACCATTTTAGGGAATCTTCTAATCCAGCTTTTTTCAAGCGGACCTTCAAAACCATCTCATCATCTTCTCGAAGACTCCCTCCACATACTTCACCACCAGTAGGCATAAGAAGATCAAAACATTCTACCTAAAATTACATTCACGATGACTAAGTAATAGACTTTTTAAATACTCATAGACACACTGACTCATATCACATGCTCATTTCTTAGACATAAACAAAGTTCATGATAAACTTTTCAAACATTCTCACAATCATGCTGATGTTTCATTATATGTTTGTGAAGAATGAATAATACTATTATTAAAACATTCTGACAAACATACTTTTAGAATTATATCACATGCTCATTTCTTAGACATAAACAAAGTTCATGATAAACTTTTCAAACATTCTCACAATCATGCTGATGTTTCATTATATGTTTGTGAAGAATGAATAATACTTAAAACATTCTGACAAACATACTTTTAGAATTATATCACATGCTCATAAATAAACATAATAAATTATTATTCTTAACTTTGTTTATTACTTTATTATAAACATACAGTTCATCCTTTGTTTTTTTTCAGAGCAAAGCCACATTGGGCTATCTACTGTGTCTATTGTGGGGGAATCGATTCCTGGATTTTATTAGTGTCATAAGTCCATAAATCTACTGCTAACCTACTGGGGAACAATGATCAACCTATGCAGTTGACATAAAGCTTTTACATCTTTGAAGACGAAGTAACAAAACATCAGTTACTTTCACATTGCCAACACTTGAGAGTTTGGATTCAAAAGCTTTTACATGTTTGAGGATGAAGTAACAAGACATTGGTTACTTTCACATCGCCAACACTTGACAGTTTGGATTCAAAAGCTTTTACATGTTTGAAGACGAAGTAACAAAACATCGGTTACTTTCACATCGCTAAGTGCCATTTCATACACTTTGCTGGTTACAGTACCAATACTAACCAAATAGGAGATTAAATAATTAAGCTATTTCAAGTTATGATAGATGTTATGTAAGAATAACAATTCTCATAATGTCACAATTAAACATGTTATTCTATCAAAGGAACACAATATAAAATAATAAAAACAGCTTTATCTGATGTTCCTATAAAGCTTAATAACATATCAAATATCAAGTTCGATAATATAAATAAAATGATATGTTCTTAGTTCTATAATGCTATGTCACAAAAATGTTATAGTTATAACCACCTGTAAATAAATATGTCACATTACAAATATGATATCATGTTGATAAATGTTAAAAAAACACAACCAACTCTGTCAATCTAATAAGTTTTTACAGTTGCAAAGAAGTTATGATCATTATGTTATACTAAAAATCTCTTAAAACTATATTACCTAAGTCATACTATTAACTGTTGTAAAAGTTACAACATATTATTAAATTAAACTTATTATTCAAACTTAAGTATTCAAACTGCAGTTCAGTTTCAATAGAAAATATTTAAATAAACATACAAAGTGTGATTTTACACCTTGACAGTCTTTTAAAAAGTTATGTAGAGAAAGCAGTGTATTTCATGACTTACTGTGGTTCCTGTATGGCTTCGCTTCATGTAAAAGGGTTTGATATCTGCAGGAAAATTTGTTACAAACACAGGGGTTTCCCCACAGTGCTTCAGCAGACACTGTTCATGTTCATTCCGCAGATCCTCACCCCACTTGTTTTGGAAAAGAAAAAAATTATTATTGTCTTATTCACAAAGTCATATTAAATGCTTTTTATTGTTTTTCATACATCATTAAAACATAATAATTTCACAAAACTACATCAAACAAAAAAATCTGTATCAAATAACTAAACTATATATTTATCCATCTCTCTCACTCTGACCTAGAAACTAATTTTAATTTTTTTATCTTTCAATATACTAGGTATAACTTAGATAATATTGTTTGTTACTATATGTATATACATATATTAACCTCACATTAACTATGATAATTTTTTAAATTCTAACAAACTTTACGTACCTGTATAAGCAATATAAAAAGTGCTAAGAAAAAGACTGTAAATAAAAATTTCTCACATACACGATTGCTGCTGTTTAAATCAAGTATCACCATTTAAATTTTATCACAAGCATAAAAATAAAGTTTTATAGCGGTCAGTTCCCAAAACAGTGGATATTTACTGGATATTTTGAAACCAGAATTTTGAAGAAAGTTTCACAAAAAAAAAGTTAATTGTACACCAGTAAGCTACCTTAAAATGGACTTATACAAATCGATACTTTTACACTTTTGTTACACTGAATTAGATTAATAATTTTTTATTTAATAATATTGCCTAAAATTTACAGCAAAACTCTGGGAACAGTCTGATCATGTGGGTTTTCAAAATGATTTTCAGTTATGAGAAGCTAGTATCACATAAAATTGTCCTAAAATACTTGGTTAAAACGTACCTTAAAGTAACCTTGAATTAAATCCTTTTTACTTTGAAACACTTCACATGCTTCACTGTACGTCATGCTGAAATCAAGAATGCTAATTATAAGACTGAAAAACCAAATTTTTCAAATATTTTATGGCTGCTTTCTTCTCATCAGACTAAACAGCCCAAGAAGTGAAGTTTATATTCTTATTATCCACAATTAACTTATAGGCTTAAAAAAAGTAACATTAACATTTTCTCATAGAGCAACTTATATATAAACTGATGGTAAAATAATTGATTTAAGTTTTTCATTTTTTAACTATTAAATATATGTATTATTTTTACTTAGCTAAAAGATCTGATTCACTATTCTAAAAGTTTGAATTTCACTTTACTTACTTAGACCTCATAAACTCTTTTTCTAGTTTTGTCTAAACACACACACACACAAAATTAGAGATTTTTATTCTTTGAATTTGACACCATATTGTAGAATAAAAACTTATGCCAATGATGAAGGCTGATTACTGCCGTGGAAGCATCGAATCCTCTGTACAAGAGAGTCACTGTGCAAATCAATTTTGAGTAACTTTTGTACCTCATCTTCAGGTTCAGGTCAAAATGTCATCGCCCAATGATTATCTCGTCAAAGGATTCAGTGTCTGGAAGGCTGTTGGAATCCATAATTATCTGTCAATAGCTACCTACTCGCATCAGTGTTAATAGGAATAAGTTATTGTGTATTTCCATATTAAAGTAATAGAACTTTCAACCTTAATACATGTACATGCATGTAGGCTAAACAGATATACTGGAGACCCCTAGGTTCAGGTATAGTCGCCCCTAACTTTGAACTATCAGCCAAATGGAAGGCGACCAGACAAACAGCACCTGCTGCCACATAGACTTTGCTCATTTTTTTTTAGCCAAATAACAGGAATGACTGTCACTCTTACAGTTCACTCACAGATGAAAGTGCAGTGAAAGCACATTCAGCATCGTCACATCTGAAACCCCAAACCTTTGGAACCACATCCCAACAAGTTAGGCAGTAGGCTCTTTAAAAAACATGCAAGTTCACTGTTTATTATCTAATACCATTAAGTTGTTCACATCTTTTAGAACTTTATAAGATAATGCTTTCTTTTTCAAACATTTTTTGATTAGACTATGTTCTGAATGACACATTTCATTCAGTTCCATTTATTGGGAGATCCCAATATCTTTTTTAAACATATTAAAAAACATAGTTTCAATGCTTCTAATACCTACAAATTTCAAAAACAATTTTATCAACAAACATACTAAACTTCTTCAACCACAGAAATGCTTGTCACAGTTAAATGTAACATGGTTTGTACAATTTTCATTAGTTATAACCCTGCATAATAAGAAAGTTAAGACTTTATAAGAGATATTATAAATTAAGTGATTTTACTTCAGTAGGATATACACAACTTTGGTAGGTTTGGTTAATAATTTTATGTTGTGTACAAAGAATTACTGCAAAAACAGTGAAGTTTAAAAATTAATTTTACAACACGGTTTCTGAAATTACAACAGTCTGAAGTTGTGCAAACAATAATAAAATACTAGCATGTACTAGAACCATTTCAGCTTTAACACTTACCGTATGAAGGGCTTTTCTAACATTTTTTCTATTTTCATCACTTGACTGGAATTGGTCTCTCCATTAAATACTCTTAATTCCTCTGAACACCATTCTAAGATGCATCTTGTGGTATACTTAACCAGTTCTTCAACAACCTACAAGAATAGCAATCCATATTTAACCAGTTCTTCAACCACCTATAAGAATGTCAAACCAAACTAACCAGTTCTTCCACAACCTATAAGAATGTCAAACCAAACTAACCAGTTCTTCCACAACCTATAAGAATGGCAAACCAAATTTAACCAGTTTTTCAACAACCTATAAGAATGTCAAACCAAACTAACCAGTTCTTCAACAACTTACAAGAATAGCAATCCATATTTAACCAGTTCTTCAACCACCTATAAGAATGTCAAACCAAACTAACCAGTTCTTCCACAACCTATAAGAATAGCAAACTATATTTAATCATTTCTTCATCTATAAGAATAGCAAACCAAATTTAACCACTTCTTCAACAACTTAAAGAATAGCAAACTATACTTAACCAGTTCTTCCACAACCAGTATGAATGGCAAACCAAGCTTAACCATTTCATCCACAATTTATAAGAATAGGAAACCAAATTAACCAGTTTTCTACAATCTATAACAACAGCAAAACAAATTTAACCAAATCTTCAACACTCTATAAGAACAGCAAAACAAACTAACCAGTTCTTCCACAACTTATAAGAATAGGAAACCAAATTAACCAGTTTTATACAATCTATAAAAACAGCAAAACAAATTTAGCCAATTCTTCAACAATCTATAAGAACAGCAAAACAAAATAACCAGTTCTTTCACAAAATATCAGAATAGCACACCAAATTTAATCAGTTCCCTCAAAATCTATAAAAGTAAACCAAAACTAATCTTAACAAGATCTTCCATAATCTGTAAGAACAGCAAACTATACATAACCAGATCTCTCAAAATCTATAAAAATAGCAATATTACAATCACAAGAAACTTAAAAAACTCACATAGAACTGAATAAAAAAATATGTTACAGTGAGGATTTACAGTTTTAGCATTATGCAGAAAAGCCTAGGAGAGAACGAAAATGTTACGAGAAATTTTATCAAAAATATACTTTGACATGTTTTCTTAATAAGTTATTTTAAAAAAAAAGTGCTGGCTCTAATATCATCCTTCAGCTCTAGCTGTAGTAACATCATAACATTCTAATATCATCCTTCAGCTCTAGCTGTAGTAACATCATAACATTCTAATATCATCCTTCAGCTCTAGCTGTAGTAACATCATGACATTCTATCATCCTTCAGCTCTAGCTGTAGCAACATCACAGCATTCTAATATATCCTTCAATTCTATCTGTAGTAACATCATAACATTCTAATATTATCCTTCAATTCTAGCTGTAGCAACATCATAACATTTTAATATTATCCTTCAATTCTAGCTGTAGTAACATCATAACATTCTAATATTATCCTTCATTTCTAGCTGTAGTAACATCATAACATTCTAATATTATCCTTCAATACTAGCTGTAGTAACATCATAACATTTTAATATTATCCTTCAATTCTATCTGTAGTAACATCATAACATTCTAATATTATCCTTCATTTCTAGCTGTAGTAACATCATAACATTCTAATATCATCATTCAGTTCTAGCTGTAGTAACATCATAACATTCTAATATTATCCTTCTATTCTAGCTGTAGTAACATCATAACATTCTAATATCATACTTCAGTTCTAGCTGTAGTAACATCATAACATTCTAATGCTTACTCTGCCTTCATGCTCCTTACTTTCTTGATATTTAAAAACAAGTATTATTGTTGTCACTTATAATTCTCCTCACTTACTGCTACATCTGAATGTCATGTACCTCTAACCTCCATTATATCTTCTACAGAAGTAACAAAAGCCTTCTCTGCTTCCACCATATAGAACTCACTGAGATGTCGCCGAGATTGGGAATTTTCAGCTCGAAATGCTGGACTAAACGTGTAGACATTGGACAATGCTCTAAAAAAATCAATAAGCAATCAAAAAATTACTCAAAAGCTCAATAACTTACGACGAACAATTTCTTCTCTAGTTAAGAAGAGGCTGCTCTTTGAATGCATTCAAGCTTTAAGATGTTTTTTCTTAGATTGTATTCATTCAAACTTATTTAAATATGTATTTTTATTCATTGCCGTTTCAAAAACTTCAGCATAAAGACATTTAGTAGAAGTAAAATTTTGGTAGTTAAATTTGTTCACTATCTCTTGCTAACATGGGTTATTTTAAATGAAATGTATAGTAATTTTTTTCCTTCATATTCATACACGAGTATTTTAAATACTTTAAAACCTGTGAAACTTTCCTTTCAATATATATTAGTACATATTAGCATAACATTTCAAATAAAAAAGTCTATTAATATCATATGTTCTCAAAAACTCTAGCACTGTAAGTTACACAAAAATTAATAAACTGTTTTTACTGCAGAAAAAGAATTTTGCATGGTATTTGCTAATGTATTTCTTACTACAAAATACTGTACTGTAGCATTTGAAAATTACAGATCAACACTGCTAAAACATATTTATCAATACATATTAATAAATTTCTCCCAAGTTAGTATAACTCGAAGGTATGAGTTGAATCGAGAGATTGAACAAGGATTTAGAAATTCCTTTCACTGACTGGTCCTTGGTGAGGAAAGTGCCAAAAATATCTTGCAATTTTATTTATTTTTTACACTTAAATGAAAAATTTCTTTTGAATATGTTATATACTGTAATACAAAATGAACTTATCAACTAACTCAATTCCCAATTAATGTAAATTTACACAAAATAACAAACTCACAATGCTGCTGCCTCTAAATGAAGTTGTGCAGAAACTGTTAGGTAAACAGGAATATCAAAAAAGCAGTCTGGGTTTGGAAAATCCACAGAGTTCTGGCTAGCATCTTTACTGGAAGTGTTAGACGAATTTTTCAAGTTTTGAAATACTGGCTGAAAGAATCAAAGGAGAAAACAAGTCTTTTGAAATCCTTCATACATCTTTACATCACATTTAGAACATTATAGCCAAACATATCAATAACATGGATTCTATGCATTCCAGATAATATCGTATATATTTTTCTGGTATACTGATTTATGACAATAAGTAGTTCTATTCAGTTTGTTATATATAACAGGCTACATTAATTTATAAGTCACATTTTAGTTCTGATTTACAAAGTGTTGGCTTATATTTGATCAAAACTAAGAAATTCACAAAATGTATTCATGAATAAAAAAAGATAAACCAGGTTTTGATATTCCATCTTGAAGTTATATATTTTTAAATCTAACAGTGTGTTAATACAATACTTTACAAAGATATGGTAAACAAGTCCATAATACATCAATTTAAGTATGCACTGTATATGTGAGTGGTATACAAATCCATAATACATCAATCTAAGTATGCACTGTATATGTGAGTGGTAGACAAGTCCATAATGCATCAAGCTAAGTACACAATGTATATGTGAGTGGTAGACAAGTCCATAATGCATCAATCTAAGTA